GCAGCACGCAAGGGCATCCCGCAGGGCGTGAAGCAGACGGTCCACGTTGTCGCTGGTCGAGTTGCAGCCCATGAGGCCGATGCGCAGGACCTGGGAGGAAGAGGGTGAACATCTCCCTGCAGCACTCACCTCTGTCTGTGCCTCAGGACCCTGTCCAGGTGGCAGGGTGCAGGGTCCTGTGTGAAGCATGGGGCATGAGAGGGTGTGCACGGCTCCCTGCTTGCTCGCATTTAACAGGCAGTTCCTCTAAAGATGTGTCACCCGCTAATTATGTGTGTGGTTATTCAATTAGGTGGGTGATTGTGTGCGGTGATTGTGCTATGCATTGCTCTGGGCGATGGGGCACAGCCAGCCACATGTGCACTGTCGGCAGGCAGTGAATCCTGGGGTTTGGTGCTCGGGCATGGGCAGCAGGAGGGGAGGACTCTGCCCACCTTGCCCACTGTGGGGCCCAAGCCCCCGGCAATCTCCATGGCATACTTGTCCATCAGAAAGGCCGTGATGTCCTTCCAGTTGTAGCCCTCAGGCACCCTGACAGTGGTGATGGTGGGAAGTCTTGCCTTCTGGGGAAGACAGAAAATGGGTTCAAACCCATGGTCCTATCCCCTGGTGAGCCCAGCAGACTGCCAGGAGAGAGCATCGCTCAGGGGGAGAACTTTCTTCATCAAAAGCTGCCCAGGCACATCTCCAGCCATGGAATGCTGTGTCCCCATGCTGCCCCTGCCCTGTGATGGTGAGCTCACCCCATACCCACCTCCTCCTTTACGAAGAGCTCGAGCCCCAGGTCGACCAGCCCCTGGCACAGCCGGGTGCAGTTGGCCTGGTGTCGCTCCCAGGACCTCTCCAGACCCTGCAGGCAGAGAGGTGAGACAAAGTCTGTTCTGGACAGGCATCTCCTGGCACCCACCGCTCCTCCACTGGCACTGCTGGTGCCCTCCTGCCTGCCTGGCACCACTCACCAGCTCTGCCAGCATGGCCAAGCCTTCCCGCAGGCTGAAGAAGCTGTTGATGGGTGCTGTGTGGTGGTACCTACAAAACTCAAGGGACACCCAGAGGTGTTCAGTCTGGCCACAGCAGAGCTGCCCCCTGCTTGCAGTGGGGGATACCAGGGGCATGGCGTCCTCATCACCCAGCACAGAGTGGTGTGACCAGCACACAGGGTGATGGGGAGACAGGGGTCAAGACCTGAAGGGCAGGAAGCCCTGGAAGGGGAAGGCTGGAAGGGGACAGCTGCAGCCCCTGTGACCAGAGAGCCCACCCTCACCTCCGCGGCTCCCCGTTACAGCCCCAGTAGCTGGCCAGCCAGCCTATGTCCAGGTAGAAGGAAGGGGGCTTCATCTTCCTCCTCAGCACCTTCTCCCTGGAGAAGCAGAGTGCTGGGGTGAGGCTGGACCTTGACCCCAGCAGCTCCAAGGTGGGGTCAGTCCTGTGGGAGGGAGGACCCCCCCCAAGGCAAACACAGATTCACTTCAGCGCCCGTTGCTGCCCAGAGATGGGCTGGGCACTGCTGCTGGGCGTGCTCTCCGCAGAGCGGACTGGAGCGGATGGCTGGCAAAGGAGGGAGGGGACAGCCCTCCCAGCCCAGTCCTGCGGGGTCGGGGCTGCTCTTACCTGGCTCGCTCGCTGAACGAGATGGGGGCACTGCCCGGGGGGGCGTTGAGGACTTTCTGGGACCCCGAGTATAGGACGTCGATCTCTGTCCGAGAGGGAAAGGCAATTCCTTAGGGACTGGAGGCTCCCAGCAGGAAAATGCTGAGCACCCCAAGCCCTGCTGTAAGTGGTGG